TTAGGCCTCTGTATTACATTGCAACAGGTACCTATCTCATATGTCGCTGCCGTGAATGTTTTCTCATAATAATTGTCGGTAGGTATTCGTTTTCGYGACTTCGTGAGTAATCCACAGTTAGGCATAACTTTTCGGGTGGTGTGAGGGTGTTGGTTATGGTCTTCCACCAAAAAACCGCACGAGGAGGCACGAGCGACTTTAACGGCTCTCGTTGTCGATTGATTTCCGTCGCTGCCGCCGCCGGGGTATTGGCCTAGTGAACTGTTGAGGTTCGTCTCACCGTCGTCTCCATCGGTATGTATGCGCACGGAGTACGCGGTTCACGTGGTGATAGACATAATGACGATTTAAATAAAAACGTCGATTAATTAATACCAGAGACAAAATGCGAGAAATAAACAATAACTTTGCCTCGTCACCCGAAGAAGGGCGTATAGAGGTACCCATGCAGTTACGATCGTGGAAAAATTAATCGTAGGTATATATAGGTATRCACGTGCCATTATTAAAATATCTTCATCGTCGACTTSGTTATTATTATCATCATTATTGTTACTTTTTTACTATTATAATATCATTATTATTATTATTAATATAATACGACTTGTTSCGCCCGTCCACCTACTTATACACTCATGCGTCGTGCACGCAGCAGAGACACATCAGAGCATTATAGTAGTTGTATGCGCGCGTGCTAACGGTAAAAGTCGACTGCACAAATTAGACCATGTAAACACACAGTATTTTGGCGATTCGCTGTTTAAACCCGAAAGCGATTAACATTGTTTTCATAATAATTACAGATTTTCATCGTATCTCATACGCATGCTATAACAATAATAATGAGTGACTTCACACACGCACATGCTAATATTATAAGTATATAGGTATATAATCACTATTAGGGGTGACATAGAAAACCGTGACGTTTAAGTGTATAACGATTAAATGTTATTTTCACTCCGCATAGGCATAATAGGTGCTACGATCTTATTGTGATATTTCAATACTGGGACCATAATATATCATGACAGTATTATGACCCGAGTAAGCGCAATGCTCTTGACGTTATGTCCGRAAAAAAATTTCCCTAAACGTCAGTCCACCGGAAGATTCCCAAATAATGCCCATGCACCAACTGCGTGAATTTATAATCATAATGCATAATATAACAACACTTTCTAATTCAAATACCCGTCAATAGTTATATACGCGAGTCACATTTCAATGTATTATCTATAGAYGGAGAAAAAATTTACTGTCATGTATATGATTTGTCTTCCGTGAAAATCTATAATACGCGGGCATTGTTAAGAAAAGTGAATGCACATTTACGCATATTTCAGGACTTTTTTGCGTTCAATTTTTTTTCGACTCTCGTTGTAAAGATTATTATACATTAATCATCATTAAAACATTCTAATAGACTGCACTCTAGATTATGAACACATTTTTAGTGTAATAATAATAATATATCCGTGCATACAGTACCCTTTAAAATAAAAGTTTTGCACCCACCTTTAACTGATCGAAAAAAATTGAATTTAAAGGCCGATTACCAAGAAATACGTTTGACATGACGTAACTGAGGGTTTTTTGATAAAAAATTAAAACTAATATACAAAATCAATGCCTCTACAGTATTTGTATTTGTTTTGTGTATTGGATTCAAGAAATGTTTTATGATAATTTTCTTATCCCCGACCTGAATTTAATAAATGMACACATCATTATCATTCCATAATGCATTTTTTTTATGAGTTTACATTTTGAAACTTGTTCAAATTATAATTAACCAATATTTATAGTATAGTCTTACCTTAATATAGGTTTTTATGAAAAATATGGTTTTAACTATAAACCACGAATTGAAGGTAGGTATTTACTTGTTCAAGTTCTTACTATAGAAAAAATACTATTTAAACATTTTCTTTTCTGTGATTGTTCATTACTCGACGATTATGTTAATTGGTCCGCACTATAATATACATATATATTATTTGTATTTATCTGCATAACTAAAACGTTAAATTCAAATATCTCAGCCGAAAAATTGAAGCGAGTCTTAAATACTGTAATAAAAAGCGTATAAACACGCTATTCGATTTGATTAAAGAGAAAAAAAAACACTGACAGTTTTTTTAATCTGACACACGTGAATTGCACAAATTCCATTTATACAATATTTCAGTTTTTGAAATCCCATGTAGGTCATACTGATTTTTTGCACCATCATAATATTATTATTATTATATTATTTTATAAATATAATTTTACAAATGAATGGAATTTACACGTTTAATCACAGACGAATGTGCGAATATAATAATAGATATTGAATTATAACATCAAGGTATTGGATACACGTCGAAAACGTAGGAAATAAATCACGGTGAAAAAAAAAAACGTTCGTTACGTCCGTTGAAAATGTACGTTGAATACAATTTTTTTTTTCTCTACAATCCGTCGGAATAATGCTACCGTATGATAATATGTGCCTGTGCATACCTGGCTACCGACTTAAATGGACTCAATTTTTACTTAAATTAGTATAAGAATATTATCTTTATTGTTATTATTTTTGATACTATAGACGTTGTAATTTTTTTGTTCGCATAAAAGGTTAATAATCTTTGGCAGTGCAATGCTCACGGTCAGTTCGGAAGTGCTGCCGTCTTCAACTTCCGAAGTTTCCGGTTTCCGGATGATGCTCAACGCCTACAGACAGTGTTCGGACCAATCGGAAATGGTCGTGTGCCTGAAGAGTCGGGCGCTCAGAATGCTGGACAGAGCCATTCATATGGAAAACATTCAAATAGCCGACGGTAACCATCGGGCATTGCATTTAAAATAATTATTACGTCCCAAAAACTGTTAGGTAGTAAAAAATGGTAAGTACTTCCGACCCGTGGAATATGATTGGTCTAGAGTTTTCCAACAATCAAGAGAGGATAGACAGGACCCCGTGTAAGTTCGATCGAAATTATTTTTCCTCGGATTATAACACTATATTAATATTGAATAAAGTAGAGTTAAATATTTTAGATTTGTCGCGCTTAGGACTAAGATGTTTTGCGAGGCAAAATTTACGTCTTTTTTGTACTTTGTTTCATTATAATTATTACTGTGCAGATATACTAATACGATGCGTTTAGTTTAGAACTACTGTGCACGAATTATTATTTTCCATTTAAAAACGAAAATACAACGTTTAAAATGTCAGATGCGTGTACATTTTCTTTTCCAATGAATTTCAACTGTAAAACGTTCAATTTCACGCGTGTTAAGACATTTGCGTTTTCACTTTTGTTCAAATACATGACGCGTCTGCTGATGTGAACATCGAGTGTACTTTTATAATTTATTCGATATAATTTCAAAGAAATTAAATATAATTCAAAGAAAATATTTACATAATATGTATAGGTACGGCGTTTGACATAATTCGAGAGAAAGACATAGAGACCGTTAATAACGTGTTATTTATTTTAGGAATATCTCTRGTGAAGAAATCTGAAAACAACGGCAGATCGTTGGAGGTGGACAACAGTGATGTGGCTGAAAATGTGATACCCGAGAATTCAGCCGAATTCGGTAAACAAGTGGACTCAATGTTATACGAAAAACTGTCCAGGTTCGCTAGGTCCAGATCGCTTCAGCTGTCCATGCCACAGATGTTCGACGAAGGCAGAGATCTCGATGACGGTGTGTACTTGACTGGTAATGTAACATTAGTGTACACTACTCTCCTGATATTATATTGCTTGAACATAATAAATTGTAAAAAATAACAATATAATATTATTAACATATTATATATTAATACATYAATTTTTTTTTATTGATAGTTTAATATTAAAAACAGCAAGCGTGCAGTAGGACCGATACAATATTTACATACTCGTATAATATTGCATATTACATAATATTAATACTTGATT